ACGTTTCCGTGGCCGCGGGAGATAACGATGACGTTTCCGTGACCACGGGAGACGACGATGATATCTACACGGCCGCGGGTAATGTTCATGAGTTTGTCGCGATCGCGGACGACGACGATGACATTTCCGTGACCGCGGGAGATAACGATGACGTTTCCGTGACCGCGGGAGACGACGATGACGTTTCCGTGACCGCGGGAGACGACGATGATGTCTACACGGCCGCGGGAAATGTTCATGATTTTGATCGCGGACGATGACGATGACGTTTCTGAGACAGCGGGAGACGACGTTGATGTCATTGATGTCTACAAGGCCGCAAGAAATGTTCATGATTTTGCCGTGATCGCGGACGACGACGATCACGATTCTATAACCGCTGCAGTTAAATTATTATTCAGAAAATTTGGTTAAGCTATAAAAATTGGTATCGGTATCAAGAATCGAGAATCGATACATTTTGGTATCAGTACTCACTAATTGTTGAAAAAACTAGTCTTGAAAAATTTGGAATTAATCTTGAAAAGTCTGGAATTAGTCTTGAATTGTATAATGGAAATAAACTAGACACCCTGTAGTTTGTAAAAAAAATCAAATCAGTGTTTACTTATATTTTACCTGTTTAGTGAGAATAGTTCAAAAAGTGTTTTGTCTTGCATAATTTTTAAATATTCTATTGTATGTACCTCAATTACAAAATCTTTCGTATTCATGCAGTCTTAGCCATCATTGCTTACATTTATTAACAATTTGAAATTTTTGTTTTGGTAAACATCATGATAAACATACAAACCATAGGAACTTGGAGATTTAAAAAATACTAGTGGCCTGTAGGGACCATAGCCCCTAATTTAGACTACAATAAAAAAACCATTTATAAAAAGATATGTAGTTAAAATAAATTTCAGAAACATTTTTTTCCAATCGTGGATGGTTCCAGCTCCCAGTAGTTGTTTTGGATTGGAAAATGTGCCAAAACCGTTGAGAATAGAGAAATCCCCCGCCAATAACGGCCAATCTGATGAGTCATGTCTGCTCCCTTTGACATGTATAGGACCTGGTTTCATTATCCTCAGCTTGAATCATGCTTTGTACCTCCAACATAAACTTCAAAGGAATCCGCAGTAATCTCGTTTTATGGTCGTGCAAAGGAATAATGATTCTTTATGATTATGTTTTCCACATTTGGCCCGCGCCTTTCCTACCATTATTTTGAAATACTCAGCGTTAAGTTTTTTTTATTCGTCCTAAGATCGTGTATTAAAATTAAAGATGGTAAACAGGATTTGGAAATATTTAGCGCTTTAAGTAAGAACGAGCTTTTAATGGGTACATCAACTAATGACGAAGCTTAATGATTTGTTTGTTTTCAGTAGTTAATTTATTTACGTTTTTTCCATGATGTTTTTTTCTCTTGAGTAAAGATTAACATCTCCGTAGTCGTTATCTTAATACATTAGAAACCTTTAATAAAATAATGTTTTGGAAATTTTTCAAATGAAATTGGTAACTCAATTAGGGATTTCCTATACATATACAGTACATAAAAAATAAACTTGTTACAAAATTAATAGAACCATTCACTTTGATGATTGTTTAGTTACTTTGAAACAATGTGTCGGAAAACAAATAGGAATTTTGACCGTCAGACTAGGTTAGTCAATCTCTTTTTGGTTTTTATAAAATCATCTATTTGGCAGTAAAATAATTATGATACGACTCCTCTGGACGTTTTCCTTTGGGGGCAGTAAGGAATGACGTCTACTCGGTGCAGATTCGGAATCTGAATCACCTCCGACAGAGAATAGTCGCATTTGTTGGTGCAACATCCCATGAAGTACTGACCAAAACCTGGGAAGAGGTCAAATTTCACTTAGATTCATGTCGGGCCACTAATGGTACTCATATCGAGTTATATTAAGTTTCTAACAAAACTTGAGAATTTTAGCTTTAAATACATAAATAAAACATTAGACATAATATTTAATTTGGTATCAGTATTTGCATTGAAAATGTTTCAGTTCGGACATCCTGTATTGTTAGTTCATGCACAAGGAAAGTCACTATAAGTGTATATAAGTATTGACTATATATAGGTATATATAGTCAATGATATAAGTAAGGAAATAAGAGTATTTTTTTTTCGAGAAAAGGGAAATGTTGAGCATAATATCTGTAGCAGTCTTTTTAAAACGAAATGACAAAATGTCTATATAATCCAACATTTCAACTCCAAAAGTGATAGGAGCCCAGGCACGAAGCCCTAATTTAATCATATCAAGGTAGCGCCACTGACAGTCGCGTTACTCGCGCTGGAAATTATTTCCTTTTACGTTACAAAATCAAATCTGCCTTTTGTACATCGGTGGACATGTTTCAGAAAGAATCAATTTATAAAAAACAGTTTTGTCAAAAAGATAAACTCTAATTGAGTCATTTAATTAATACATGTCAATCAATTATGTTGTGTAATAATTTTTAATTCGTTTGGATTAATTACTTATCGAGTTTTACAGGCTGACAAGTTAATTCCCTCTTTCTGGTAATCTTGAGTTTCATCAAATAATCTGCAATCTTACAACTGATCTACAAGATCCAGTTGTATAACTCTCTTTTCTCACCGTTATATGAACGCTTTCAATAACCAATCGTTCAGTTCCAGTAGGTTCTGTTTATTTTGTTTATCATCTAAAATTTACACATTCTTTCACTATTTATTGTGTTTTATTCCTTAATCTAATTCCACGCTGCAATTATCGTTGTGACCTAACTAAATGTTGTTAACTTGTTTACAAATAGTTGTTTAGCCTCGGGATTACTGTAATGTATTTTAATGGTTTACAATACCTTGGTTGCTGTAGTGACAACTATTTCGTCTCTCAGACCACCATGACAACAAGTCTCAAGTAGTCACTTCCTTTGAAGGTCGTCAACAGAATTCAATAACTAACACACGCACGAGGCATGGAAATACATACTATTACAAACAAAAGATTTTTTAAGTACATTGTAATTTAGAAAGTTGACGGGAGTCTAGACTGGCTGTCAAGGTGGTCTATGTGGTCTGTCGCGTGTGCCTACGTCTTCTTTATGAGTTTGTTTTGAGTTTCAGTATAGTTTCATCAGATTATCTTGTATTTCAGACTAGTTTTATTACTTAATCATGTGTTTCAGTCTAGTTTATCAGTTTATCGTGCGTTTCAATCTAGTTTCGTTACTTAATCTTATGTATCGATATATTGTTATCAGTTTATCGCGTTTCAGTCTAGTTCCATTACTTAATCTTATGTATCGATATATTGTTATCAGTTTATCGTGTATTTTAGTCTAGTTTTATCAGTTTATCTTGTATATTTCAGTCTAGTTTTATCATTTTTAAACATTTTTGCCACCAAGACTGATATTTGAATATATAATAGGTTACGTACCTTGGTCCGTCTTCAGTCTTATTTTTAGTCAATGGATGACTAGTTTCGGGTACAAAGACCCATTGTCAAATCCTTTTTCAAAACATCATGTAGAAGCTAGTCAAAATCCGACGGAAGTCTTCATCATTATATAAATACAAGTTGACACATAAAGTTTATTATTTAAAAAACACAAGTTACGAAACATATAAGATGATTGATAGGCCGGCCACATTTAACACGGGACAAACCGACACAGGTTACACAGCGGACACGACAGAACTATCCATTGTTGTAAATGGACTTAAATTGTGTAGAATGATAAAGAGAAAGGTGTTTTAGGTACAAGTTTTACTCAATACAAAACCACAACATAGCTTTCCACAAAACACATCTGGTATCCATGACAACTAACTTATAGGAGAACACATGTGATACGAAAATGAACTATTCACACAAATCATATTTCAACACCCTCCTTATTTGTGGAATCCCTGGAACTTAATGCAGTCTCTGAATTTTTCACAGTCAAGCCTTTGTTGGAGAATAGGTGAAAATGTTTCATCATAATCTGTTCCCCTCCTTTGGTCGAATCCTGGATAGTTCTGTCGTGTTCGCTGTGTAACCTGTGTCGGTTTGTCCCGTGTTAAATGTGGCCGGCCTATCAATCATCTTATATGTTTCGTAGCTTGTTTTTTTTTTTTATAATAAACTTTATGTGTCAACTTGTATTTATATAATGATGAAGACTTCCGTCGGATTTTTGACTAGCTTCTACATGATGTTTTGAAAAAGGATTTGACAATGGGTCTTTGTACCCGAAACTAGTCATCCATTGACTAAAAATAAGACTGAAGACGGACCAAGGTACGTAACCTATTAGAGTTTTATCAGTTTATTTTGTGTTTCAGACTAGGTTTATTATTTTATAATGTGTTTCAGACTAGTTTTATCAGTTTATTTTGTGTTTCAGTGTAGTTTTATCAGATTATCTTGTATTTCAGTCTAGTTTTATTATTTTAAAATGTGTTTCAGACTAGTTTTATCAGTTTATTTTGTGTTTCGGTGTAGTTTTATCTGTTTATTTTGTGTTTCAGTCTAGTTTTATCAGTTTGTCGTGTATTTCAGCATATGTTTATCAGTTTATCTTGTATTTCAGTCTAGTTTTATTATTTTAAAATGTGTTTCAGACGAGTTTTATCAGTTTATTTTGTGTTTCAGACTAGGTTTATTATTTTATAATGTGTTTCAGACTAGTTTTATCAGTTTATTTTGTGTTTCAGTGTAGTTTTATCAGTTTATCTTGTATTTCAGTCTAGTTTTATTATTTTAAAATGTGTTTCAGACGAGTTTTATCAGTTTATTTTGTGTTTCAGACTAGGTTTATTATTTTATAATGTGTTTTAGACTAGTTTTATCAGTTTATTTTGTGTTTCAGTGTAGTTTTATCAGTTTATCTTGTATTTCAGTCTAGTTTTATTATTTTAAAATGTGTTTCAGACTAGTTTTATCAGATTATTTTGCGTTTCAGTCTAGTTTTATCAGTTTGTCGTGTATTTCAGCATATTTTTATCAGTTTATCTTGTGTTTCAGCTCACAAACTGGCCGGTCTGTACAGCTGCGGCAGGGTTGCCCTGACCGAATTGCAGTCTTGGCTTTTCTACCAATGGATTCCATCTTCTGACCTTGAATGTAAGTGAATACTGTTCACTATTTATATACGACACAACCCACAACTACACTGCACTACTTGATCAAGAATAATCAATGGGTTTATTTTGTCTATTGTTTGTTAGATCCCACACATTTTTTTTGGAGTTTTCAGTTTTAAAATTTATTATGAGTTCTCAAGAATTTGATTACCTATTGTAGTAGGTATAATGTGTAGTTGAGAAGTTATGAGGTCTTGTAATGGAGAAAAGGGAGCAAAACGTATTCTTGTTCCTAACTGAAAAAGTTACACGAATTTTTGTTTTATCAAAAAGTGTAATTATTTATTTTACAATTTATCTAATGCGTCCTCCTCCGTGGCGAAATATGCCCAATTTATTTTCCTTCGTTTTTTTTTAGTTTGTGTATTGATTTTGTTAATTGTATTCTTATTTTTTATTTCTTTTTATCAGGTTTCTGTTCTTTCTGCTGACAATTGTCTTCTTTTGTTTGGATCTGTGAAACCTCAGGTAAAAATATTTTTCTTATTTCTTTAGTTGTTTAGTTTTGTTCATTTATACGTTTGGTTGTCGCTAAGTACATGTAATTTTGACTATTTTTATTTCACTGCTTACCTAGAGTATTAAAAATATCTTTTGTGATTTTATTTCAGTCTGCATCTGAAACGAAACTTCGGCTAAATATGAACCTAGAATAACAAAATAACAACTATTTTACTCTTTATTTGTACTTTTCGACTACGTTATCGAATATGGCAGCAATAATCAGGTTTATACAAGTAAAACAACCTAAACAGTAAATGTAGGTTTCCATTCATTCATAACTGAGAGTGTTATCAATGACTCATGTCCCTTATCAGTAACAGTTTCAAGGTCGTGTTTAAGTCTCTTTCTGATTAGTCATCTTCACTCAACTCTCTGGCGTTGTGACGTAGTGAGTGAAGGTAGTTTATTCGGTTAGAAAGATGTTTTTTTTTAATTGTCAACTTCTTGATAATTAGGTATTTTTTATGCTTATTAACCTTGTAAAATGCACTCTATTTGTTCGACAACTTAATGCATTGCGTTAAAAAAATTGTATAATAAAATTAAAAATAAATTAAAATAAAATTTTGAAAAATAAGAATGAGCTCTTTAATGGACTGTTTATAATACAAAGAAAACAAAGAATAGAACATATGGTAATTAAAATAATTACAAATGCAGATGTCACTATAGAGGAAACAAGTAATTATGGAACTTTGGCAAAGAGTATTACGGTATTGATTTGAATAGGTATACAGTATATTTACACTTAGGTAAGAATGTCACGTTCCCCGATCACGTTGAATCGTTTTAATTTAGTAGTGGAATTTGTTGAGACTAAATTTTAATAATATATTTTGCATTTTGTCTTAAAACTAGTCAGCCCTTTTTATTGAGTTATGTCATAGATAAAACATAGTCCGTTATGTTTACTACTTTTTCTCTGTATTTACAAGAAGTTTTACATTATATTTGTTCCACTAATAAAGTGTTTGTTACAAACTTATAAGTGCATATTTTTGTTATGAAATGGATGCCTACCTACGAAACATTAATTTATTTTACGCAAATAATTCACTCCGTGTATAATTATACCAAGAATGCATTGTAGAATTTCCTTTTATCTTGAAGATGTGTATGAAAGTTGAAGATGACTGCTTTCGCTTTCACTTAATCTGCGGTCAAGGCATAATTTCCAGTGATGGAAGAGTACACAAGTAGGCGAAATCTGTAGTACATTCTGTAGTGGTTTAAATTCAACGTTAGTTTGGTAAATTGTAAAAATAAATATGTAACAGTTTTATGTATAAACACTTGAAAAAATCGTTCTCAAACGTGGGTTTTCCTGTATTTTCTGTAAGATTTTATGTAGACTACAAAAGCGTCGCTGTAGATTAGTACACAGAGAAGTAATTTAATTTATATCACTTCTCTGTGATTAGTATTTGATTTTCATACTAGTCTTCAACAATAGGAGGCCCTCCCGAAGCTTGAAGGTGGTCCATATAATGGTGATCTAAACAATAAAACGCATTGAGAAAACTAAGAGCCATTGTAATAGGAAACAACGGAACCGGATGACGCACACAACGCTAACACTGCTGTTGTAAGTGCTTCCGGTTTGGGTTAGTAAGATAACGAACTGATAACTCTGCACTTGAAATTCCGTTGTTGGCAAAGTAAAAATTAAATTACTGCATCCTGATAACAAATCAAATTTGTAAATTGGTTGAAATTGCGAGGAACTGTAAGATTATAGCCTTTTTTAATCAGCTGTGTCTTTAATTCAAGATCCGATAAACGTTTAAAACAGAGATAAAAAGTACCTATAGAAATCGTTTTGTAAATCGTTTAACAAACAAATTAGTAATATGAATAGGTAGCTGCGTCAGATATCCCAGCCTTCAAGACCTAGAAGCTTGTAATTTCGTATTATATTTCATAAAAAATTAATAAACTCCTAATTTTTTGTTTTTAATTAATCCAGGAGTTATTTTGGATTCAGAACTGACATAACCTATGGATATTTTAATCAACCTTCATTTCTGGGAGATAAAGATTTCCAGTTTTTTGCGTTTGCCTCATTCAATAAGGCTCTTGAAGGCATTGTTAAATTAATCGGTAAAGCTTTTATTTAACCCCAGAAGATCAGGGCGGGCATTAATTGTACCAACTGACCTGAGTCATGTAGGCCTAGTCGAGTATTCCTGAATTGCGCCAAATATTCCACGGATCCACCCTATACTATTAACTGCACCAAGTGGCGGCCCTCTTTGACTGTATAATTGAGTAGGTAAGGTTAGGTTAGGCTATATTAGGTTAGGTTAGGTTAGGATGACACATAAACAAGGACATTCCTTCTGCCAACTCACCTCTACCTGGCTTGGGATTGACGCAACTGAAGAAAATCCTTTGGGACCCTTTGAAGTCTTGGCGCAATTGAGGAACTCTTTGGCGCAATTAATGCTCGACCTAATTCCACTCTTGTTCGATTTAAAATATGTACGAGGGTTGATTTACCGTTCAAATGTAAAAATATTTCCCAGATTTGGGATTTACTCTGTACATTTCCTTGGTAACAATGTTCTACCAGTGTAAACTGTACCGTTACGTATCTAGATCACGATCACGTGACCACGTCACGCTAGTGTCAAGTTCTCTGCTACTTGTCGCTGTTCTCGTCTGTGGTACAGTTCCTGCATTGTCCTCCGTGACAAAAGGCGTTAGTAACATAACTGTATGGTAACAAACAGTGGTTAACTGTTCCCCCAACTAGCTTAACTGTTAACTCCTCACTACCGTATGACTGGAAAATTGTTCATGGTCGTTCGATATAATTATTCGGTAGTATTGATTCGTTGTTTGATTATGTTGATTTTACATCGTTGACACTGTAAATAGATTTTGTATTGGGTTTGTGGATAAAGACTTGGTGACATCATCATACAGAGTATTGTGTATACACTTCTGAGTGGTGGGTTGATGCTCTTTCACTCAAATACAAATAACTACAGAGTCGAGTAACACAAGGGTGATTAATCCAATAAATATTTGTGACCTTGAAGTCGATGTGCATATAAACCTATGCTTACATTTGAGATATTCTTCTGACTCCTATCGGGCCGTCCCATGATGAGGTAGCTTATCCTGGATAATTTGTTTGAATATTTATATATAATATTTAATATTTAATAATTGAATATTTAATATTTATATATCCTGTTGTCGTTGTTTGAATATTTGCTTACTGAATAATTTGTGTAAATTATTTTAATGTCCTGTACCTTTGTACCAAGTTTTGTAGCTCTATCTTTTATTCTTTAAAATATTTCACAGTCCCGGAACTTTTTCCCACCCTGTACATGTCAGCTTCAACGACAGCTAATGTTTATTCCGATTTGTTTATATGATGTTCAATAATGTATTTGATTTTTTTGGTTTTTCAAATATTTACAGAATTTAAATCACATTCATTCTTTTTCTTCAATTCACGTTTATATCAGCAGATGAAATGGAGTCACCTTTCTCCAACAGACCAGGGGAGGCGGACTGTTAAATTGGACCTTTTTCAGCCTCAGCAGCTTTTATCTCTTTTGTAGCTAATATTAGTCTCAACTCTAGATATACCCATCGTTGTCTAGTATGCCGATGTGAAGTGAGCTTTGCCCTCTGTTATTTTAACTTAAAATAGAGAGTAATGGAAATTCAGAAGACAACACTTTCAAAAAATCTTATTTCATATTTATTTGACGAGAAGCTACGACTTTCCACTTTACAACATTTTAACACTTCTTATAATTTCTAAAACACTTACATGTTGTTGTAAAAAATATTAAATCACATACACAAAGTGATGTATTGTCCATATCATTCAACAATTGTCATTACAACATTATCAACACAATTTTAACAATTATTATAGTATAGTGAGATAATAATATTATCTTATTTGCATTATGATTAGTACTTACTTACTTACTCCTGTGGCCACACAAATCCCAAGTGATTTTTGGCCTCGCCAACAATGCTCCTCCACTGCTGCCTATCTTCTGCTGCCTCCAAACTCGCTCCTAACCTCCTGAGGTCCTGCCTCACTTGGTCATTCCATCTTAATCTGGGCAGTCCCAGCGGCCGTCGTCCTTCTGGTTGCCCCATCCAACAATGATTATGATTAGTAGGGCCAGATAAATGTGTAAATGTTGTGTTTCCCAATTATTTTATTTCTACTTCACCACTTCTGCCAAATGTTAGAGAGAGATATAGATGTAGAGAGATGTAGAGAACTTTTTAAATTGTTTAAAAGACAGAAATTAAAAAAAATATGACTATCTCGCTAACGATGTGTTTTTTTTTTCGAAAATCTGTTATTTCAGTAATTGTTTTTTAATTTTGGCTCATAAAATATATTCCTAAACTTTTTATACTTATTTAAGGAACTTCATGTAGGCTTCTTTGCTGTTAAGGACGAATTTCACCTTGCACGCTATACTTCTTAGTATTACACTACTGCCAGAAGTTAGACAAGGGTTTACAAATTACTCGTTCCTAGGCTCTTAATAGTGTAAAAGCTGGAAAAATTAGGAGAAATTAATTTTGTGTTTGGAAACTTAACTTAAACTGCATTCAACTTCCGTAAGGATTATAAATAAGGGTGAATGATTATTTATGGTAATGCACATAGAGAATAAACAATCATAGAGTCATCCTGTTTACCGATAAAAATGTCCATTAGATTTCCTTGATGTGTACATGTTAAAATCAAAGCATTGTTTACGCCAATGCAATCAGAAAATGAAGCAACGAAACCGGCCAAGCATTGACAGTCTGAATTCTCCTTTTAAAGTGGTCAGGAAACTTAAAAAGGCCGGCTGCAAAGAACCAATGACAACAATACCGTTATGGTAAAGCAGGCTATATTCCTACTGTATGCCCATGTATGGAACAAAATATGGTGCAATACGATTTTCAAACATTTTTTTGCTAGTATCAAAAAATCTCTGGTTGATTACTTATTGAAATAAAATAATGCTTTTATTCCAATTCAGTATTGGCCTATCAAATATATTAATATCTTTGATATTTTACTATAAATTCAGTTCAGGAAAGGTTGCATCTGAAAATAGTGTTACAATCACTAACCACTTCCTATTGTTATCAGTTTCGGTCGAGTGATAATTTGTTATATTTTTACAAGTGTTTCATGTCATTATATCCTTATAAATTAGCTAATTGGTAAAGAGGTTTTAAGCCAGTGTAGTTTCATTGAATGGATGTGTATTGTGCATGTTTATCTGTCACACAGTTGCTATGTAACCTATGAGGGGAAATAGTAGTCAGGTTGTCTAGGTTCTAATGACGCCTTGATTTTATCTCAATCTCAAACTGTCTTCAAAAAGACCATGGATCATTAACTCTTGTTTTGAAATACGAGTGCAAACGCTCAACTCCTAGAGTACCGGTATGGATTGACTATACCCTCTTGTATAATAGATATCCGATAATAAGTGAACATGGCTAAAAATAGAGAGGAAATCAAATGTTTGAACAGTTTCAGTGTATACACTAGAAACTACCACACCACTGCGTATGTAACAATACAATACAATTGAAGTTTTCAGCTATGTCTTTGTTCCAACCTCCTATCCCAATCCGATCCGACCTAAAATACATTCATCCTAAACAGGACTTTTAGACCATTGCAGAGCATTTCAGCCTGAAAAAATTCCGTAGTGTTAGTGAAATGAAGAAAAATTTCCAAAATTGGTCAGTAGTTCAATCTATGAGTGCATAATTTAATTAAACTTTATATTTTAATACAGAATTGGCTGCAGATTGTCCATTTAAATATTTTTCGTTTACCCTAGTACTGTATTTTAAGTCAATGTTTCACCTCTCATTTCACAGACTCAATTATGTGAGTTTATTGCCACTTGTTTCACACTTGTGGATTTCGAGTCTCGGTGAAAACAAAACAAATGAGAAATTATAGTCCAAGTGGCGCCGAGCAGTCTCTGAGTGGAACCCCCCCCCTCCACCCCTGCCACTCAGCACACACACACACACAGACAGAAACACTCCCGTGTTCACCACGTGCAATTGAGGCGTTCTGTGCTGGACAGGTACAAAATAACGCGACCTTAAAGCTGCGGTTTATTTTAACAGATCTAAATATTCATTTAACTGTGACTTGTTAAGTGCACACTTTTGATAGAAAAAATGTTTCCAATTCTAAAATAATTCCAACAGTAACCAACATTCGACAGGCAGGATCTCCAAAGTATATTGCCATTAAGTAGCAACAGTACGCGCTCTCGGAGTTGATTTTATCACACCAACTGTTTGACGTCTTAATGTAAGAACTTTGTTGGTTGAAATGTAACACCCAATGTCGATGTCTCAACTAGGTCAGTAGAAGGTATCAACACTTATTAAAGTTAAAAATTCCTGTTGAGTTAAAATTTCTCCATTCGAAAATGGGAATAAACCTGTGCCGCAGTGCAGCTAAGTCATCTATCATTAGATATGTCTAGTCACTTCGCACATGACCAATTTGTTTGAAGATCAACACCGGTTATCAGAAACTGCTATAACATTGATCTATTCGTTGTGCTACGTGCTAACAAATACAGACAGAATCATTGACTATTGGATACTATCAATATTGAATTCTGTATAACTATTGAATTGTGGTATATAGTCAATTATATAACCAACCAATCAATGTATTATGTTTCTGATGTGAGGAAAATCTCTCCATGATTGTCAAAACTAAGGACAATTTATTAGTTTCAAACATCGAACCCTATGTTCAACATCATCAGCACTTTCCTACGTCTTGTGGCAGCATATGCAGATTTTAGTTGATGAAAGTGTTTGATTGCTTGATTCCCACATCATATGTTGTGGTTTCCGCGTCTTGGGAAACATTCTTCCTCTAGACTTTCACAAGTTTTCCTCTGTATTATACATAGCGTATGATAAATAACTCGTTTGACCAACTGTTCGAGGCCGGGACTTCAGAAGAAATTGATTTATTTTCAATAAATTCCCGGATATGTCATTGGGATAAGTTGTGATGATAATGTGTAGCTTACGTTAAGGCTGAATAAGACTTAAGTCACTTTCTCAAAAAAACTTAATATGCGAGTACAAAAAAAAATACTTCCTAAACTTATGCGTCAACATTTTAACTTTAAACATGTACAAGATGGTATGTAAATGCAAAAGATGTTGTAATGGCGATCGATGTCGTCATACCTACTACAGTCATACCTATCACCATCAAATCCAAGGCTAATTTGAAATTCTAAACATTAAAATACAACTGAAATACAAACCAGATTGAATCATCATATTGAGTCGAGTTATTCGATTAATTACCAGTTTTGTGGCCACCATCAAACGTAATTAAATTATCCGTTGCCAATTTTAACCTCAGAAACAATAATCAGAATGGTCAATAAAACGAATTGCTAATTATCACAAATATTTTTTTATATAATTCGTTGTTTATAAAGAACCGTCCATTATTTTGCAATCTGTCTATATCAAGGAAGTACAAACCATAATATATGCGTTGAACAAATCCCATTAAAATGTTGAATTCAAACCAACATTTTCCCGTAGCACTAATTTTTCAAGCTCCTTCAAAATAATGATGCTTTAGAGCTTACTGTTTCTGTGTAAAAGTTTGCATCTATGTTTTGCAGGAGTCTCCGTTACAATTATGTAGCTGAGGCAGTTAAGTAAGAAAAATTGCACATTTTTGCTGTGTACATTCTTAATTTGCTCTTCAGGAGAATTGATAAATTTATGTGACACATTCATTTGTCCACCAAAGAAAAAATAGATTTAGAAATTCGACGGTATACTTTTAACTCGTAAAAAATCAAGACATTTCTTCACAATGCTTCAATCTCAGTATCAATACAGGCAAATCAATCTCAGTATTTATATGGTAGCTGTTACAAGAAGTTTATACAAATCATTATTGTCTGTGATTGGATTAAAGATCATTTAAAATAAGATTGCTAATTTGTTTTTTGAATGTCCCAGTGATTACAGCGACTAAATCAATTTGATTTTAATGCAAAAAGTAATCCATCAATTTTTTGATTTTGATTTGACAAAATATTTACATTGTTGGCCTAACCATTAACGAAATTCTCACTTTTATTACTTTATTTTTTGTATAGAATTCAATCCACAATTCACTATGGCATTTCCGATTTTTGAGTGTTTTAATCATACGATATTATTGGGTGTTAATGGTCTTAAGCTCCAATTCCCCCCAAACACCATAGCATGTCTTTAGACCCATCAAACTTTAGTTTCAACCTTCATGCAGTTTAAAAATTGAGTTTCCATTGTGTTTTTGAGCAAAATTTTACAGACATTTTTGTAGTTCATTGTCTTCTCAGTAAATAAGAAAATCTTACGATATTAAGGTGATGTTTTTGTGAAAATCCAACCAGCTTGGATATTTTGACTACAAAATTTGCTTTAGTGGACAATACAGTAAAGTATATTATTTTCAGTTTGGATTGAAAAAGAATTTGGATTATTTTAATGAAATCAGTAAATCAGCGCACTCTTTTGGTGGTCCTATTTAAATACTGTACTGTATGTTACTTTCTATTCTAAAATTGGCTTAACATTGAATGATAATTGAATGAATGAATGAAATAATATTTTATTTCCCATTAATTATTTACAGATAAGTACATTGTATTTTTTTCTTTACTTATACAGGGTGTCCCAGAACTCTCTACCAATATTTTAGGGCATTGATCCTGGGTAAGAAACGTACCTAAATATCATATTTAAATTTTCCGGAAGTCCTTAGTTACTCTTACAGCCACCATTTTGTTTTTTCAGTTATTAATTTTTTTCTTAAGAATGGTTAAACATACGAAATGGAAACTTTGCACAAACATTTATGACAACTAGAAAAAGCTACCAAAAAATTATCACGATTTTTCAAATTCATAAAACAAAATGGCGGCCATTTAAAATTTTCTTTCTTAAATAACCAAAAAAACCATTGATTTTACAAAAAATTTAAATGGCCGCCATTTTGTTTTATGAATTTGAAAAATCGTGATAATTTTTTGGTAGCTTTGTCTAGTTGTCATAAATGTTTGTGCAAAGTTTCCATTTCGTATGTTTAATCATTCTTGAGAAAAAAAAACTAATAACTGAAAAAAACAAAATGGCGGCTGTGTGAGTAACTAAGGACTTCCGGACAGTTTAAATATGATATTTAGTTATGTTTCTTACCCAGGAGCAATGCACTAAAATATTGGTAGAGAGTTCCGGGACACCCTGTATATGATACAGCAAACATGATACAGCATTACTAACTAGATAACAAAACAAAAATTATATACTGTAGAAATAAGTGAATAAAAGTGTAAAAAAATACATTCTTTAAGTAAGGAAAAAGTCTACGTAGGCAGGGCCTGTGCGTAGACTCAAGTTGCGAAAAGATTAATTTAAATGGGAAGTAAAAAATATATAGAAGAAAAAAAATCTTATAATTTAAACTTTTTTTTATTTGTCTTGCTTGAAACTGGATTTTTAGTGTTCTGGAATTTGATATATACTTCTATCACAAGTCAAAGCAACAACTTTAATTCCTTGATGTCATCCAACAATTCTTCTGTGTTTGCAGTCATGTCGGACGGGTTCCGAGCCAGGGACATCGGTCTGCGGGCTCAGAAGAAGATCTTGGGCCGGATGGCTACCAACAAGAATGCCCGTAAGATATTCATAGATGACAACACTGCTAGTCTGCTGGACAACTTGTACAAGCTGGTATTGGAATATGTAAGTGGATCATGTAACATTTGTAGAAGCATAATAAATATTCATGATAACTCAGAACTGTATTTGGCTCTGGTCTGGACAATATTTCTTGGTACCGGTTCTAATGTAGGTAGTTTGTTATTAACTGTAAAATTACAGACTCTTTAGCATCACACAACATGAACATTTCTTGGTTCATTTTCTGAATAAACAATTTTCTATTAATTTGATTCATTTAAGTTAATTCATTGCGTAAAGACATTTTTTTCTGCCTCCCAGAATATTTCTTGAAACCTGTGTTGAAACTTTTTGCAGCCACAGTATAAAATATATATTTTTAAGAATTCAAAAACTCATACAAATGAGCAAATTGTAGTAATGAACACGGAATTTAATGTTCTACACTTTATGGATGGGCTTTGTTTGTTATGTAATTTCTTACCGTATTATTCCAATTTTCTCTGCTATAAAAAAAGGTCCTCCTCTTTTTAAACTGACCCTGACAATTTGTAGAACTGATCTTAAATTTCATAAATAAAAACTACAAAACTAAAATAAAAATTTTCAAAACAAAAAGAAAATTTTTAAACATGGAAGTTAAACATTTCTCTTTGGATATTTAATTAAATAAAATAAAAGTTTGATTTTGTGTTATTTTTAGTCCTTGTTGGAACAAAACTTTTTCAATTACTCTAAACAAATTATGGAAATAGGATAATTAAAATTTGCAAAGTAGCAAAGAGTTTATTTAAGGTTGCCAAGTCCATTGGAGTCTTTCAGCCAAGTTTAGTTACATCAATTAGATTCTCAGAGATGAAGTGAAAAGTTGCTAACCTCACTTTAGTGACAACCCCCCCCCCCCTGGCCCTGGTCTTGTGATCCTTTAAACCTGAACACTTTGACACTCAAGAGTCAATCTCTTGACTTTATTGCTCTTTTCTAAATTGAGCCTTCTACTTTAATACAGTATTGATTCTGTTGGTTTTAAAGGACAGTGGTAAATTTGCTATCATAAACTGCACCTGTCCCTCCTTTAATATCTTTAAATACCGTACATGTTTGTTTAAATTTGACTAGAGCTAGAAGATAAGGAGTTTATAAAGTGAAATTAGGATCTTTTGCACCAAAGACATATAGAATAACTATAAGAACTTTTGCGACTTGTGACACATAATATTCGATTTTATTTCAGATAGATATAAAAAGCCAGGTACAAGGGAATTGCCTTATAGTAGGGCCTACTTGCAAACTAACTGGTATATAGCTAGTTTGATTCTGAAACTGGACTTTCAGTGGTCATATAAACCCTGGTCTTGTCACTATCTTGACCATCAGTAGTGGTTCCAAGGAGAGCAATAGGGGCTAAAGCCCCTCCCCCCATTGAATGCAGGAAATATAGATGTAAACATACATTTTGTCATAAAATGTATAGGAGGTCTTTGGGCACAGTTCTAGACCTTAAAAATGGCTTTTAAAAGTCAGAAAACTGCTATAAAAATAGCCAATTTTCTGGGGGAGGCCTCTGGCCCCTTACCTAGTGTGAAACACCCCCAGTAGCCCCCCCCCCCCCCCCTCCCTAGACAAGGTCCAAGAACCGCCTCTGATCCTTGACCTTTTGTCAGATAACATCACTAATCGATAGCCAATGATAAATTGGCATCTGGGTTGAGTTACCGCTTAGAATCAAACCAGAGGGACCTTTAGATTTAAAGTTAAACACTATTACCATTCAGCTGTCCTGACATTTAATTTGTGTAATGTACAACTAAACCCTACTTAGCTTACCTACACAAAACAGAAAAATAATTTAATTAAATACTTCAAAAATATAATAACAAATATTTAAATTTTACAAACATGTAATATAGTATTGTGCTGTTTCAGACCAAAAACAAAAAAGAAACAGAGAAGATTATGAAAAACATAATCAAGACTGTGATCAAAGTCGGAGTGCTTTTCCGCAATGATGAGTTCAACACGACAGATCTCGAGTACGCTGAGAACTTTAAAGTTAAGTTCCACACGGTTGCGATGGCCATACTGAGCTTTCACGGGGTCGACTTCATGTACGATCGCCAGTTCTTGGTCTTGAATCTCACAGAAGCCCATGCTAACCTGAAAAGACTCGTTCAGAATCACCTCAAAGACAAGAGTCTGCAGAGGATAGACGCAGTCTTTGAGTTCTTCTCCAATCCTCAGTTCCTCGACACTATTTTCAAGCGAGACTCGCAAAGGTACAAGGAGATTCTCGACAACTTAGTGGAGGATATCAATTTCGCAATGGACGAAAACAATTTGTAACTGCATTTCCCCCTGTGATTTCCAACCGAATTAAGTTAAAATGCAAACTAAAATACCCAGTCACAAAGTGAAATTTTTTACTCATAAATTAAAGAAGCACAACAGTTTAAAAATGCTATAAACTTTCGACTAGAGAGACACAGAAATTAGTCGTCCCAAGTGCTCTGTAACATAAGTGCCTATGTTATCCATGTGTTTAGAATCCAACAATAACTGGAGTTGCTGGTGTGAGAAATCGTAAACTGTTTGTTGCAATCTAATTTTCAAATGAATTCTGTAGTTTTTAACCATGTAATCTGATATACCGGTAAACGTTTACAAACAGAAGTTGTTATTTTAAAAAAACTTAAAGTTTAGCATAAAGAAATTTTCTCACTATCGATAGTTTCAAACACATAATAAAACCGTTACTACCTGGGAATACTAATTTGAAGTATATTTTTCTGTGTCTGTAGTCAAAGGTACAGCATAGATAGTTTTTATTTAAACGTAATCATGGTCTTGTCAACTAATTTATTTGAAGCGAGGCTAACAAGATGTAGTTTTGTGAGACAAAGGCCAAACAGAAACCATTTTATGTAATTAAAATGGCATAAATTAACCAAGTGATGTAAGCCTGTTGGCTGTTTCTCTATGTTTTTAGAGTATTTTACACCGTCAATAATATTTAAGAATGTATTATTGTGTCTCTAGTTTTCCAAGACCAATTAAAGCTTTTTATGGAAGCTGTGGAAAGAAACATAATACTAGAATACTTGGATAGTCTCCTAATATTTCTAAGTCTTTATTTATATCCTTCTTACTTCACAAGTCAATCATGGACCTTACAGGACCTAACAGATATTGGGTTTAAATTTACTTTTCCCAAAACAACTATGTGCTGCGAACGTATGACATTTTTATTTTGTAGTTTAGAAAATGTTTATAATAGTTTTAACTGTAAGATATTTTGTACTAAAGCTGCTACCAAAGCTTATTTTAGTACTTATTTTGAATCGCTCTGTTCATAACCTTAAAGACACTTACAAGGTAGAATAATAAATTTCTGAGAGCTTTTATTGCTCGTTAACTTTTAAGGGAGTCTTTTACATTTGGTTCTCACCTCTTGTTGTATGTTGTATCATTGTTGTCTTTTAAATGTTCATGTTTGTAAATTTTTGTTTTACTGTGATGAATTTGTTTTGTATATAGGTACTGTATTTATTTGTTATAGTATGGCTGTGTTATAGCATTCTGTATTTAACTTATCACATAGTTTAAAGACTCGAGTCAAATGATCAAATTTGAATTGTTTCCTATTTCTTATAGGTAGGCCTACCGGTAGGCAATTATATAAAAAACGCACATTTTTATTTTTGCTTAGATGTGCTTTTCTGTGAAGCTATTCTTTCCTAACCAAACAAGGTCTAATTAGTTTAGTGCTAATTTATACTAAATAGTGTTTAGGTACTTGCTAAAGAAAATAATCAAAATTTGTTAAACCTGAGAAAAAAAGGTCTTTGCTATTTCATTTTATTTTTTGGGAGCAAATTTTAATGTATTTCATGCCAAGTTGCAGTTTTTTTTTTTTTTTTTTTTTTTTTTTATATAGGCCTAGTAATAAATTTGGTTTCATCTTTTTGAAAGCTCTTTTAACAAGTCATATATGAAATTTGAGATTTAATTTTGGCTTCTAATTTTCTTACAAACAATTTATTTTTACTACTAACATTTTCTCCAGTTTATTTTCTTGATATCTTAAATAAAAAGTAGGATTACTAAAACTTCCATATCATTGGTCCATATCTTTTAGAACTATTATCTCTTGCCAGATATTTTTATTGCCATTTACTTCTAAGTGTAGAATTTATATTTTATGAATCAATTTCTTGCTAATTTATACAATTATAACCACAAATGTGAAACCTCTTATATGGGTGAATATTGAGTAAATAATTAGAGTTTATGGGGTATGATTTATTAAAAATATTATCTAGAAGAAGCCGGGTTTTATTTTAATGCACATAATTTAAATAAGATTATTAAGACATTAACTACTGTAATAATTTAATTAAGATGCAATTTTCTTTTTATTTTTACTTTATTAATTTTGTATTAAAAATACATTTATGAAAAACATGAAGACAATTTTAAGAAAATTATGTTTATTTAACTACATTGGACACATTAATCTAAAAACTACTGCTAGGATCACGTATATTTGCATTCCATATATACTGTATTTGTATTATTAATTCTGTAAAATAGTTATTTGTTTAACTAGTGTGCAAAGTAGCACTTCACCCTATCGTTACACATTATATTTTTCCTACAGTTACTATTTTTCCTACAGTTAAGATAATAAAGGAATTTGTTGGATTTTTGTTTGCAGCAAATCGACCCCTAACTATTAATTTTTATAGGCATATTAAGTATTTAAATTTCACACTGTTTTGTGTTGTTTGGTTGGAATACTGGAGTGTGGCAAAAGTAAGTAAATGCAGCAATTATCTACTTTGTGTGCTATAATCAGTGAAAGGAAGCCCACTTGTCAGGTAACTGTAGGAAAAAATATGTTATACCTAGGCTATGTATATCTTTGTATGAATTACTTAATTTACAAAATACATTACACTGTGATAAACTATGTAACATATTCAAGAAGTTTTATAACTTTTATTTTTTACTTTTTTATATGAATATGATTTTACAGTATTTACATAAAATAACAAATAGAATATATTGAATAGCCTAATTAGTTAGATCTAATTTCAACAACTAATTATTTTTGTAAATGTTACTAATATTATCATTGATGGCATCAATCTATTAGATGACTCATTGAGTTGTGAAATGTATAAATTTGTTTCAAAAACTCATTCTGAAATTCGTCAAAATAATTCAATTTTTATTGAATGAGTTGATATTCCGAGAGTTTTTAGTTCCTGGTTTGAGTAGGGCCAGTAATATAACAACAAGGTTATCCTTAAATGAACTATAAATCAAAAGATTTCCGATGAAATGATTCTAGGATTCTAAGCCAGAATCCTTTAAATAAAAGGATTCTAAATTGAGTCACGAAAAGGAAACACTAACTAGGCTACTAGCTGTGTCCAGCAATTGTACTGTCAGTTTTTAAACTGAGCAGATAATTGCAGTTGCAGTTTGTTTTGGGCCTGTATTTTAGGTCCCTTTCCCTTTCCATGGGCGTATGGCCAAGGAGGGGCCCTCCCCCCACCTATAAAGTGTAAAGTATAAAGAATAAGACCCTTTGTTAACCAAAGATTATCAACATTTTTAAATTATGCAAAAAACAATAAAATTACAATACACAAAGCAAATTTAGTTATGAACGATTAATTCCTGAACTCCTCTTTTTACTGGAGGTTATCCCTTACCCTTCAGTCCCCCTAGCCCCCCTTCAGGAATAGTTGTATTGACACCCATGTCTCTTTCACTACCTAAGCCATGGATAACAATAAAGTGGGATGTACTTTCGGAGGCTAAAAATTATGGATAAGTTAACTACTAATTTTTCCAAGTACTAGTTCCTAAAATATGATTTCTTAACTAGTATTTTTTTTCCTTTTTAATTCATAACCAGGAACTGTTTGCATTTTTAATACTAAACATTGTTTTGCTGTTAAAATTTATTTTCTTAATTAATTTTCTACAAGGTATTTGTAATTTTATTTTAGAAAGCTACATATAACAATGTAATCCCCTTGTGGCCTCGTTAGTATCTAGAACGGAATTACTTTCATTAATTTTAAAATAAGGTTTAAAGAAGAAAAACTAAATCAAATCAAATATATGGATTTATAGTCCAATGAAGTGTGTTCATCATCATCACGTGACTTATTGAGACAGTAAAGTAGTAAATTTATAGGATAAATTTGTCCACTTTTATCAGATAAATGTTTATAGTGTATCACATACTGTTAAACATTTTATACTTTTTATATTGCTTTAATTAAATTTTAGAATTATTGCCATGCTGTTTTCTGTGTCACATTGATAATCCATGCTTAATGTTTAATGTGAGCACCATCTAGAATTTTAAAATAAAACTATTAAAAATTATCAAATGTTTATTACAAATCCCATTTTTATTTCAGCAAGTCTATGGTTTTGGTTCTGATTGTTTTGCTTCACCTATACTATCCTAAAAAATCTCCTTGATAGAGTAGTACCAATAGAGGGGAACTATACATATATTTTTTACTGCATGTAATACAGTAGTGCATACAAATAGCGTAAAATAATTTGTCACACTAACTTAGGACAAAGAAATGGTATAAAACTGCCATTTTGGAGACTTAGTTTACACAAATTTTTCGGGGGGGGGGGGGGGTAACCCCTCAGACCCCCTGGTTTGCCCCCCCCCCCTTGTGGGTGTTACTGAGCAGAGCAGACGTTGGATTAGCCAAACCGTTGGTTAGTCTACCAGCACACGAAGCAGCACGGCTTCGGCTTGGGATATCACAAAATAATATATAAATAAAAAATAAGTAACATCTGTTTCCGGCACAAAGGCAAGTCAGTGTGTGTGTCTAGCACGGGCTCTACTTGCTCAGAATTCTTTCACTCCGAAACATGTAATCGTAATCTCGGTTTTTAAGTGCTTGGAGAGAAAACGTCATGATGTTAAGGGGATACGCCACTATCTGTAGGCCATATTTTATATTTTTTTTACATTTTCCAAAAGTTGCATTTTTAGATAGGTCATTTAAATGTGAACATTTAGCTAAAATTGTTTGCCAATCTGACAACTCCTTCTAGTATAAAAAAAATAAAATATAAAACGCCGCAACCAGCAATTTAACAAAATTTTGAACTATTTTTTTTTTTGTTCCTGATATGTACACTTTTAATTGTGTATCATAATTATGTATTATGGAGTTATAAAGTAGGGTACATTTATTTAAAACAAAATAAGTACTTTGCTATTTTTATATATAATATAAAATAATAAGTTAGTGTAGTTATGGGAATTTTTCTCCTGTCAACCACCTGTTACATCACCTGCGATTATCTCAATACCGTGTTTTTTAGGTTATTATTGTACAAAAGTTTGAATAACTCCGTTAGTACTATAC